CCCAGCCAGCATGGCTGGCTGGGGAATTCTGGGAGTTGAAGTCCACCCGTCTTCAAGTGGCCGAGGTTGAGAAACACTGCCCTAACCAGTGCCTAAAATATCTCCAGCCAGTTCTAACTACGTCCTTCCTCTTTATCCAAAGGTTTGCATGGAAAGCTGTCAGCCCTTTGAGGTAGGCCAGTCAGGAAACAAGCTCCACGAGCACTATTTGAACTCTACTTTATTGTTGCAGGGCATAGTAACAGAATCTTGAAAACCTGACAGAATTTCCCTGCCTCCCACTTCTCTTCTTATACCCAAGAGGATCAAGGCGGGGCAATCTTGAGTTTCTTTCTCACCCCTTCCTCCCTTCCAGGGCGAAACAGATGTTTCCATGCCTGTTCTTGCCTTCCTTCTTCAAGGCCATTTCCATCCCTCTCTACAACAGTGTTCACACAAGCTGTTAGGCTAAAATGCGCTTGAACGGAGCAGCGTGTGAACGCAGCCATAAGAGGCCCCACCCTTCTGAGTTTTTTTAAAAAATTTTTTATCCTGCTTTTATTATTTTTATAAATAACTCAAGACAGTGAATATACCTCATACTCCTTCCTCCTCCTACTTTCCCCACCGCAACATCCCTGTGAGGTGGGCTGGGCTGAGAGAGAAGGACCAGCCCAATGTCACCCAGCCGGCTTTCATGCCCAGGGCGGGATTAGAACTCGCCATCTCCTGCTTTCTAGTTCGGGGCCTTCCCCACGAGACGCAACTGGCTCTCAAACTCTCCTCCGCCAAACTGGTTGGTGACAAATCACAAAAAAGTCCATCAGCTTTAGGGCCGGGCCCCTTATCAAGGCCTTTCTCTGCACCCGCTGGGCTGATGATCTATTTCCTGCACAAAATCTCCAAGCCTGATTCCAACAGGGAAACGTTGATGCTGCTTTTCTTTGTCTTCTTGGGGATGCTCTCTTGACCTCCCTGTTTTTCTGCACACCTGCTATTCCCCGAATTCTCTCTACCAGGTACGAATCAGGCCGGACCCTTTCTAGTTTCTGAGCATAGACATCAGCGCCGCTCTTGTCAAATACGCCCCCCTTGCGAAGCCCTCGCTGCCTTCAGAATTTCCTGCAACGAGGAGCCAGTCCCACCAGTGACTAATCTGCAGGGCGGCGTGAAAAGACCAGGCAGAGGAGTGGAAAACGCTCTGGGAAATCACTGGACGACCAGAGCAATGGCTCGTTCCAACTTGTCTCACGCAACCCTCTGCACATATTTACGAAACAGGAGCTGACCGAGGAGAGGCCCTCTGAACATGACCAGAGACACTCTGCCACATTAGGGCTGAGAGCAAAGGTGGAGCCTAGCCAGTGACCCTTGTAGGTCGGAGGAAAGGACTTGGGATTTTATTAAGATTTAAAAAAAAAAAAGTCTGGTCGCTCCTTTCGTTCAGGAGCGCAAGGCGACATACAGAGTGCTTCTTCGCCTACGTTCCCCCCACCACCCTGTGGGGTAGGCCGGGCTGAGCATGACCGGTTCAGTCTCCCGGGGAGCTTCTGTGGCGGGAGGCTGGGGCTCCCGCGGAGGGTCCCGCTCCGGCTCTCGGCCAGCTTTACCTGCTCCTCTCTTGCTCTCACCCATCGGCCAGGAAAAAGCCCTCGGCCAATGACAAGC